GACGTGGGCAGGTCGGTGGCTTTGCAGGCGCTGTGGGGTCGCAGCTTCGCCATCGCTGAGCTCCCTCCCAACCCAAACGGTGACTCTGTGCCCCCCTCGTCTCCGTCTGCAGGAGATGAAGGTGGCCCAACGCGTGGCCCAGAAATACTCCTCGGTTCCCGACATGTGGGCCAAGTGTTTGCTGGGCCACTGCTACGGGCTGTGGTTCATCTACCTGCCCACCCACGTCCGCGCCGCTCCATCCAAGGTGCGCGCGCTGCAGCTGGCCTACGAGGTGCTGCGCAAGATGGAGAGCCACAAAGTGGTGCTGCCTGACGAGGTGCGACGTGACGGGGGGTTGGGGGGGGGGGGGGGGGGGGGGGGGCGCTGGCCCCATAGCTGACCCCATAGCTGAGCCCATAGGCAAGGCTTATAACTGAGCCCATAGCTGAGCCCATATCTGACCCCACATCTGACCCCATAGCCAAGCCCATAGCTGAGCCCATAGCCAACCCTATAGCCGACCCCATAGCAGATGTCATAGCCAACCCTATAGCTGATCTGATAGCTGACCCCATAGCTGACCCTATAGCCTACCCTTTTAGCCAATCCCATAGCTGACCCCATAGCCGGCCCAATAGCCAACCCTATAGCTGTGCCCTTAGCTGACCCCATATCCGACCCCATAGCCGACCCCATAGCCGACCCCATATCCGACCCCATAGCCAACCCTTATAGCCGACCCTTATAGCCGACCCCATAGCTGACCCCATAGCCGATCCCATAGCCGACCCCATAGCTGACCCCATAGCCAACCCCATAGCTGACCATAGCTGACCCCATAACCAACCCCATAGCCAACCCCATAGCAGACGCCATAGCCAACCCTATAGCTGATCCCATAGCTGATCCCATAGCTGATCCCATAGCCAGCCCCATAGCCAGCCCCATAGCCGACCCCATAGCCGATCCTATAGCCAGCCCCATAGCTGACCCCATAGCTGAGCCCATAGCCGACCCCATAGCAGACGCCATAGCCAACCCTTTAGCTGATCTCATAGCTGAGTCCATAGCCGACCCTATAGTCGACCCCATAGTCGACCCCATAGCCGACCCCATATCTGACCCTATAGCCGACCCTTACAGCTGACCCTATAGCCGACCCTTACAGCTGACCCCATATCTGACCCTATAGCCGACCCCATAGCCGACCCCATATCTGACCCTATAGCCGACCCCATATCCGGCCCCACACGGCTGTGCCCCCAGGTGTGCTACAGGATCCTGATGCAGCTGTGCGGGCAGTACGGTGAGCCGGTGCTGTCGGTTCGGGTGCTGCTGGAGATGAAGCGCGCCGGCATCGTGCCCAACACCATCACCTATGGCTACTACAACAAGGTGAGCGGCGCCGGGGGGCCCCGGGGGGGGGGGGGGGGGGCCCCCGGGGGGGGGCGGCTCAGAGCCCGGCTGGATCTGCTGTGCCCCACGGCAGGCCGTGCTGGAGAGCAAATGGCCGGCGAGCACACAGGGAGGGAGGCTGCGATGGGCGAAGCTGCGCAACGTGGTGCTGGGGGCCGCGCAGTTCAGGCAGCCGCTGAAGCAGAGACAGCAGGGGGCAGGTGAGGG